ACCCCCGGGGGGGGTACTCCCATATATTTGCTATACGGGGACGTGCCGCTGGCCAGGGTATGGTTTTTGGCCTTGCTGTCTTAAACAGGGTATACATTTCACCCGAAATTGTCTTAAACAGGCTCTACAATTTAGATAAAAGAGACCGATATAATTTTTTTGTGTGTCTTGGACAGGGTAATAYTTTCATAACACCGTAGAAATAGTAGAAATACCGTTTCACTGTCCCAGAATTAACGTGTTATCAAAAACTTCTTATTGTCTTTGATGGATGTCAGTATAATTGCAGTTTTGATGGTTGCGGCGTAGATAGCTATTCCTTATTTTTCCGATTTGTCTTGAACAGGGTATGGATTTTTACTTTTTAGTGTCTTAAACAGGGTCAGGGATTTAGACCGCTGGCGGCACGTACCTATCCAAAACGGGCGACGGGAGAAATATATCTGTTCTTATGTCCCAGCCAGCTGTTAGCAACAACTGGTTGCCAGCGAGAAATTCAGGAAAAAAAGTACTCTCCAGGCAAGGAATAATTTTAAAGAAATTTGGCCTTTAAAATAAAACTTTCCAACCTAAAAAAATATGAGCCGTTTTTGACCATCAAAGCGTTATATATGTTTGAACTTAAAAACGTTTGCCAGGAACAAAATTGTTTTAAAGAAGGAAAGGCGCCACATTTGCTTGTGAGATTGTCAACAATGTATCTCAAAATCCGTTTCCCAGGAAAAAAAAACTTCAAGATCAGTTATTTAGAAGAACAGACCCAGTTGGCTTCTCCTGTAATCTAGTTTTCCAGTCAACAAGCCTACCTCGTCCTCCTGAAAGAGCTTGTCTTTATTTTCCCATGTCATGTACGTCACACCCCTAGAACACAGAAAACACAATGTACCTTTATYCATACACAAGGATTTGTTGTRCATACTGTTAATGCCGCTACAGTGTTCACTCAAGAAACATACYGTACTGACGTACCTTAAATTTGCTAAATCTCTGTAACAGTCAGGATCCTCTGTGTTATATCTAAAAAAGTAAAGCGAAATTACTCAGAAATAACATCAATCTATGGAAGMTTTCCTTCAGCAGCATATAGAAGATATAGAAGAATAAAACAGTAGCTCAAGTTAGTAGTATTTGAAGGTCCAAGCTTTCTCTGTACGACCGCATCATCACATACTGAATGTGAAAAATTAACAACAGGAATATATAAGCCAAGGAGCAACCAGAAGACAATAGAAAAAAGCCCATCAGAGAAGAAGTATGAGGATGAACTGGGAAAACGTAATGTAGCACTTACAATTCAAATAGAACTGCCCAATCAGGAAGGAAGAGTAGATGTGTCAAACCAGACCCATGAATGCCAATCAAAATGTCTGTATTGTGTGTATTCTAAAAAGAAAAAAATGCTTTTTTWATAGAATACAATTCAATTTTATTCAATAATTCAAATTAGAAATGTAAATTACATTACATACTGATTTTATATTGYTTGAAGGTTATGCTTTTCTTATAAAAATTTATAATCGGGGGRATTGCCTTGCCCGCATGTTATACGCCGCGTAATTAAAAAAAATTACGTGGAACAAACTCCTTGTTAATTTCTGTTGAAGTCGACGTTTCGCTGCATAAAGAAGAAACATTCAAGGYCAGTTTCACTTACATTTAGCTGTTGTACAAACGGCATATTGCTAAAATACGAGAATAAAAAAGATTTCAGTATGCTGATGGTTATCAAATCCTGAACTAACAAGCCTAAATAACTAAATAAAATGATCTGCTATATGTTAATAGTGTTACAAAGTGTAATACAATGGCTTTGGTTGGTATCAATGATTAAATGTCTGCTTATTTACACATCGGCACCAATATCCCTAAGAAATATGGTTGATACTTATAATAATCATACCATCATTTAGCATTGTAAACAACCAAACCAAACTTCTACTCCATAATAATTGACAAACACTTTGCAAATCCCCACTTTTTCATTAATCAATAGACAATGCGCAGCTACGCCATTTTATGAAACAGAGCATGATGGTAGTGTAGTCTTCGCACTTTTTCATGTCCCCTGAAACAGACCTCCTTATTTGTTTCTGCTTTTTTTATTTTCAAAAATAGAATAAGAGAAACAGAGGCCTATTAGGAAGATTTTTTGAAGGGCTTTAAAAAGTACAAAGACTACAACTCCCATTATGCTTTGAACAAAATGGTGTCACACAGCACATCATCCATTCAGTCAACTAGCTWGTCAAATGCCTTATAATGAAAAATCAAATAAATAAACGCAACAACTGATGACAATTGACGAAATAACAATCTAGAGCGAATACCATAACACAATCGTTACATTGGTTATATAGTAGAGAGGATTTCGTATGAGTGGGACACCGTTACCGCACGGTTACCGCACAGTTACCGCACCTGGCCTGCAGAATTTTGGTGAAACAATGGGGCACTAGAATGTGGTTACAGTACGATTACGGACACAGTACAGTACCGTCCGTTTCCCACTCATACGAAATCCGCTCTATATTTTCTCCTTTTCATATCACTTACTGGTTGTAATCTACTACTTTCAACTCAAATTCTGGTACACTTCTGATTGCTTTGCTGAGCTAGAGGGAGAACGGGACATAAGTTGAGATAACAAATAAATAGTTCACTAAATAGAAATCACAAAAAGTCCCKCATGGAATGTAGCTTTACCTCTTTTTCATTCAAAATCCTTCTGTATTTTGTACTACGTACCAGAAGAGTAATGCGAGTTTTTTTCTCCTATTTAGATATCAAAACATTAAAACAAATATCATATACACCTACTTGCGAAAACGTTGTCATAAAAAATAGGACTTTTGTATTTTGTAAAAAAGGAATACATTAAAAAGACAAAAGAAGATCACTGAGGCTGAACGCTTTCTTTTGTCTTGTTTTAATTTATTCCTTTTAACTAAATACGAATATTCTATTTTCTATGACAACGTTTCTGCAAGTAGGTGTATCATTTATTCGAGCAATGTAATAACTTATTTAAATACATTTRGTCGATCATTCATAACTTAGGGTTAACATATCGAAGTGTTCATTCATCTGTATGTTCCTTCACTTTTTTTATTCAAAGTTGTCGGTTGTCTTATGTATTTACTGATTTTATTCAACTAGTATAGTCTCTTCACTTATGTCTTCATTGGCTTATCCATTCGTTCGTTAGGTATTCCTTCATTTATCGATTTCCTGATGTGCTGTTGCCGATGTAAATAGCGACCTCTGAAGCGTTTACAGTATAAGTAAAGGATTTTTTTGTATTATTAAGAAACTKATCCCAATAGACAAAGTCCAGAAACAAAAAGGGTAACCGTTATTTTTATCTAAGTAATTCACGGTATTTTTATCTAAGTATTTCACGGTACACGATATACTGCTCTAGAAATGAAAGAGTACCTTCACTTGTTTAATACCAAGTCGGTGTAATGTAYGGTGAGAAAACGCTCTGACAAGACCACTGCCATGACAGTCTGGCACCTAAAACCCAAYATGATATTTCCCCTTTATTCAATGAAATACCAGGGAATCTTCACATTTAAAAAATAACACCATGGAATACTCCTTACTAATTGTTGTATTTCTTGCTAAATGATAAAAATTGATATATCGTAGTTAATACAATAAAGAGAACATTACATGGGCGCTTGGAGTTYGCTTTCTCGTGAGATATCAATCGAAGACCAAGAYATGAAATCATTTATCTCCGGGCGCCCATGCAATATCCTCTACATATGTACAGTACGACTGACGAGACTGCATACCAAAGGCATATTGTAATACAATCCAAATACCATTCTTGCAAGAAAAGAGAATACAGCATCCTTGAAGCAAACCTTCAAAAGCATAAAAGATAGATTAGAACGATAACCAGAAATTGYATTGTATTTTTTGTTGCCAATGATTTATTACCTTTTTGCCATCAAACTTGTCGAGTCTAAGAATGGGATGGCGAGAGAATGCTTTCCAAGTATCGTAAAAGAAATCACGATAATGCAGTGAGCTCTGAAAAGAGACATCTAAAATAAGGTAGTTGCGATTGGAAAGGAATGGATCGACATTTTCTACAGGGAGGCGTCGTACAGGGTTGACCGAAAATAGCAGCGGTGCATGCGCAGAGTAAACTCAGGAAGCGATTTGGATGTCCATCCCTGCCCATTCTACTAGACCCATACTTGCAATAGCGATGAGCAATACAATGCCCTGTAATTTCTCTAAGAAATTGCATAAGAAAGGTCAATCAACTCCTGCTCTTTACTTACTGTATCCCACATAATGATGTTGATATCTGTGCTAAAGCTTCCATTTAAATGTTGYGAAGCGTAAATATTGATGAAGTCACAAAAGTGATGATACATGTTGACACCTGAGAACGTAAGCACAGTCATAACATAACATATTCGTAAGGTTACCATCTCAAACGAAAGCTACCATGAAACTGATATTGTACAGATTTGTACAGCAGTACGTCTCTAGTACAATTGTCGATGATGTTGTAACTTTTAATGCAAAAATATACTGTAAATAAATAAAAATCGTATGAGGAAGTAGCTGATCCNCTATAAGCCCCAGTTGACAAACTTAAGGAGAAAGATAACAAGCAGACAAAAGGATGAAATTCCAGGCTATTAAGGTGGTCCACTATCATCTGTGGAGTATGTCAATATCATATCCATATACCTGCATCAAGCTTGATGAGTAGAGTTGGTCTCTCAATAACTACATCACATTTAGATGCACTCTTAAAAGGTTTAAAGGAAAGACTGCTGAAATGCTCCAGCTCTGCATACCTGAACATAAGATTACATAATTAATTATGAACTCAAGGCATGATGGCCAGGGATTTCCTGAGGGGCCTCCATCATTTGCTTGCAAATTCTATGAAGTAGGCGACTTACTGCAAAATTATTGCAAGAGTATGTTCTTTTGACTCACTCTGAGCAAACATTTGAAAAAGTGTCACCCTARCCCATTTATGTGGCARCAAATAAAGTGTTATATTCCAACAAGGAAGGGAGGGTGACACATGATAATAATGACATTATAAACAATTTGCATGATAGCGTTACATGCTACCAAGACCAGAATGCTTTGCCCAATTTCTTTTATAATGCAATAGACTCAATTATTTTACTCCAAAGAGATTAGATAAAAGGTCCAGGCATTCATGGTCTTACTAGAAAATTTAAGCCATCATGCAAATGGCCTATAAATCAATAAGAATTAATAATCAGCCTTGCACATATTGATATAATATTAGATAAATCATTAAATCATACCTAAAGGATATATTACATTCTAGAAATAATGAACACAAAAACTTACCATGACTGCAATGGACTTTTGTGTTCACCTTGTTTTTTAAGAAGGTTTCTGTTGAGTTTACAATGGCCACCTATATCACCTTCCTTGATAACATCTTCTCTGTACCTACAAACATAAATAAACAGCAATATAGAGCAATATCGTATTTAATTGAAGTTAACTTTTCATGTAGATAAAGAAAAAAACAAATAGAACTATAAATAAGCCACATCCATTGAAAAATGAAAATACATTTTATTATACCTATTCCTGCTATTTTTTGCATCCAAGTTTCTTAAATCAAGATACAAATTTTTGGCATGACAGAATATCATGTTTCTTGAGCATCTTAAAGATGAATCATCCTAAAAAAATTCAAAATGTATGGACACCTTGATACTCTTTGCATACATACTGAGTTGTGGGGGGTTGGGGTGGGGGATCAGATTGGGAGTCTGGGGGTACTCCCCTATATTTGCTATATGCGTATGTCCAAGTTATAGGGTTTTTTTTCTGCTTTTAAGTAGGGGCAGGGTTTYCTTTTTTAAACTTTTTGTCTGGGATAAGGATGGTTTTTGTATGAGATAGGGTGTGGTTTTTATCTGGGATAGGGTTACCATTTGGATATTTCAGTCTTTATACCAGGGAACATTTTAAAATTTTTTCCTTGTTTCTAAATCACACTGAATTATGCAAGAGATTAGTTCTACTCACTTTTTGTTGTGCCACACATATATCCATCATCTGTTTTTTAGAKTTTTTGATAAAACCAAAGTCTCCTTGTTCAAAGAAAAGCTCTTTTTGTTGTTCTAAAGACTGTGCCCTGGCAAATCAAGTCATTTTAAAGCATGCTGTTAGGCTGTCAGTGSGTATAATGTTCAGTGGCAGATGTTGCACTGTCAAAAATTTATTAACATACCAAGCTTGGTGATGAGCAGTACAGGTTGGACTGGAATACCTATCATTCTTCTGACAGTCATCCTCATATCCCCAGCAAGGTCTTTGCTGTTGTACATTTTCCTTATTCTGTTAAGATTTTTCAATCTCATATCATCAAAATACAAATTTGTTGTAGTTAAAATATTAGTTTACTTAGACCACTTTGTCTTTCATTTAGAAACAAAAATATAATTAAGGAATAATTTTATTTCTTCTCTTTTCTTTTCTTTTCTTATTTTCCATCACCACAAGATTGTGATCACATACTTTACTTGGCCTAAAGCATTGCAACAAATCAACTGGCTCCATAACCAAATATATCATGTCACACACAAGGACAGTTCCAGGGGGAGGGTCAGGTTCAGCACCCCCCTGCTTGGCCCAAAGCAGTGAAACAAATTGACTTGGCTCCATAACACCAAATACATCATAAGTTACACATAAGGACAGATCCAGGTTTCAGGATCTCCCTGTCAAAGCCTAAATTTTAGATATCAAAAAGAATATCTCTCTCTCTCTCAAAAAAAAAAAAAAAAAAAAAAAAAAATAGGAGAAAGACAATAGGAGTAACACACCAACTAGAAAAATAAAACATATTTCTTGGGATTCCTGTGATTCCAAAAATATTGATGAATATATAAGACAAACCTTGCAAGATTCCTGGTCAAAACAGATTCCTTCTGACTGATCCTCTWGTGTCAATCCATAACCTTGACCTCTGGTATAGTACAGCAGATGGTCTGCTGGGAAGGTACTGTCACTAAGGTCTTTAATGTTACAWTCAAAGCATGCCAGCATGCAGAAGAACAAGGCCATTGGTATCAATGGGAGTTTGGAATCCATTACTATGACAACCATCACTTCTGGGATGTATGGAACATGACTCTTATAAGCAATAGACATAATTGATTTTAACAAAATATGTTCTGCACAATTTTGCAATAGCTGGGCAAATTATATTAAATGAATATTAGCTGTACAATGGATAAATGAATCAATATTATAATCATCAATTATTTTCCAAGTATATAGTAGTAAAATTACATTATAAATTATAATATTAGCAATGGTAATATTCTTTTGAAAAAGGAAAAAAAGACAAAATATTCCTTCTTTTTTCAGGTTTGACCTCTGATTTTGTCTGTTTGGATGCAAAAAAAAAAACCCTAGACAATTGCTCTAAATTTTCCCTTTTTGATCTGAATCAACGTTAATTTCATTTATACTTTCTTAGTTTAATGATCACCACTGTCTGTCCTGTTCTTCACAAACGTTACAAATGACCAACCATGCCTCAACTACAATGCGTGACAGCTCGTATTATTTACATGCTCTAACGCTTTACATTTGTTTTGCATTGCAAATTGTTCATATAACCGACCTACATAGTCTATAAAACACGATAAGTACATGACTTGTAAAGACGTGTTTGTTTAAAGCTTAATCTACAATATTATATAACTTTTGACTTTCTTATTGAACTTAAATGTTAAACTTTTAGATCCTTTTAAAAACTTTTAATAGCTCATGGCCTTCCGGTATAACATTATTGCCTAAATATACTCGCATATAAACGCCTCGTAAATCAGTGCTTCAACTATACATAAAAATGTGAAAACTCTTACTCKAAATCCAGTTAAAATAATTAAAATCTAGATAATCGCAAATACAAACAAGAACGTCCCGGGCTTTTATCGCCGGCTGAGCTCATAGACTATGCATTGATTTATCAAAATATAACCATTACGACAGAATAAACTCTCACCTTTAACAAAAACACAGATATTTAGAAAATAATTGTTTTAACTTCTGATGGATACGGGACACCATTATATTTGCCCAAAGATTAAACATTCGCTCATGATTACTTTTTGTTCAAGCTCGCAAAGAACGATGGTACCAAAACAGCTTATTCAGTCACGCAATGCTCACGCAATTTTTTATTTTTGTTCGATGTGGGCTGACAAGCGTGCTTTGTACAATGATTCGCACATGAACAAATTGTCCCGTTTATTTCAAAACMTATTTCTACGACCATTTATTTCTCCAAGAATCGGATTTGAGTTTAAAATYAGTGTTGAAGTTTTTGAAGCCGTTTACTTTAAAGCGCTCAATATCGTGTTTTTAGCCTCCGTGGCAGACGTTCCAAGCGTGGAACGTCTGCTACGGAGGCTATCGTGTTTTATGGTCGCTTATGAGCGAAAAAAAATTACTTTATTGTGTTTTGAATAATACATAGACAATGAAGTTTGAAGAATAAATATTTTATTTTCCAGCTAAATCTAATGTGATCTAAATCTATAGTAGTACGTATCCATTACTTTGTTTTTCTTTCACAGGATATRATCTGATATCCTTCGCCAATTAGTGGGCGAGTTAGCACGAGTCAAGCTTTAGTTGCTAATATGCATAATGATAATGTAGATAAATAGGACCAATAAAAATGCTTAAAATTAATAAACTAAATCGTCTGCTGTCCAAGCTGTTCTTCACCGCTCAAACATCTCAGTATAAATTCATATTTAACCAGCATAATGATACAATCATAACAGTACATCAATCCATATCATTAATTTCGACTCTATTCCTATCCTCGTGCTTGCTATGTGAAACCGTTGCTTTCTCAAGCTCAATACGCAAAACCTCTCCATGCGGATGGTGCACAGAAGCGTTGACACGAACACCCTCTTCACATCGAATTATACTCCAAAAAGCACGCCGAAAGTTTGCAAGGCGCCATCCATAAAGGATTGGGTTGACAGCAGAGGAGCTCAATATGAGCAGAAAATGGRCGTCTCTCATGACATGATAACTCGTGCAGCTACATGCGAGACAGAACTTCAATACGTAAATCATAACAATGGAAGGCAATAGCAAAACYAAAAATCCKACAAGCATTGTAAGGTAAGTGTTTGTAAGTTTCTTCTCCCATAGTGTAGCGCGTTGATTGGCTCGCGCACCTGTGTTCTGCGCACGAAGTATCTCCAAGCTGAAAACCTGTTTGCGAAGCCTTTTAATTATTCCCAGGTAAGCCAATAGGAGAATGACTATGGTTACCAATATAGAAGTATTCGCAAATATAAATGCATAACCAATGAACCCATAATACAGATATAACCAGGGCATTGACAGGGAAACTACCCATATTGCTAGTGAAACTATCGCTGCTGTTTTGTAAGTAACGTTAGCTTTGTACCAGTGGTGCGACGTTAGGGCTACATATCGGTCTAGTGTTAGACCTGCCAGACTTAAGAGAGACGCTGTGGACGAGATATAATACGCGATATGATTGGCTGTAACTACTTTTAGGAAAGTGACGTCACGTTGCGACTCTAAGTAGTGGTAGACCACTGACAAAGAGTCAGCAACTGAGCCCACGATGAGATAAGCGGTTGATAAATTTAGAATCAGCAAAGTGAATGGTGTTCTGATTTCCTTTTTAGGATCTCTTAAAACCGCTAGGCAAACTAGCAAGTTTCCAGGCACTGTCAACATCGAAAGTATGATTGACATTGCCATGGATACGTAAGAAAGAGCAACTGGTGGTAATTGTGAACTGCAGTTCATGCTGTCTTTGACTAGTATATGTAGGGACGTTAATCTGAAACAAAACAAGAATTGAAAACGGTCATTTCTTAAATTACTTTTTATTATATATTTTCGAGAAGGAAAATTATAAGAAATGATTAGTTACCTAGCAACTGAATCAACAACGTATCTTTACAGAAAGAAAAAAGAGATCGTTCTGCCAATAATTTTTCATATACCAGCGTCATCATCTGCTAAAAGATGGCATGATAAAAGAAAATGAGTCTAACGAAAGGAAATTGTGAATGACGAAATATAGATAAAACCCTTCAATTGTAGTGGTAAAAATTATCACCGTTTCGTTATATTAATTATTGCATATGATCCTGAGACATGGTGCGGATACAATTTCAAACTGTCTCTACTATTGATTATTGTATAGCTATCCTGCAAAAAACCTACAGCAAGAAATCTTTAATAGAATTCCAACTTTACTCAGATACGCAATCAGCATTGCCAGAAAATAGTACAGCTTTATATTTTTAATTTTCCTGGTTTTAATTTCCAACTCCGTAGCGGTAATAAATTTCATTGTAAATTAATACTTTTACTATTTGCGATGTCAAGTGTATCCGTTACGAGATTTTTTAATTGTCAGTTTGAGAAATGGCATATCAATCCAAGGCTAGTCCAACATATCAAATTGAATGCAGAATGTCAAACAAGTCAAACATTGGACTGACTCTACGAAAAATRACTTTTGTATATTTTTTAATTATTATTTTTCCTCGTTTTCATTTGATTTTGTAGCAAATATGAAGACGGCTGTGAAATAGACCAGTTAAAGATAGCTAGTTGTTTCTATTTTTTTTCAATATCCAATAGTTGCGTCTCCTTAGTCTATATTTTAGTGATTTTAAATYAATTGTTGAAGTAAGATAGATATAGGTTAGAGGAGTGCTCAGATAAAAAAGGGTTCATCAATTAATACTCAATGTAATGTATAAAGTATTGAATTAAAGATAACAAATACTTACCAAAAACAGACGAATATTAATATTAGTGAATATCTTGGTCTAGATTCGACTCTTAAAATGCCACACCGTATTCACTTTGTGAGAGGTCCAGGGATCTAGGCAAGACAGCTGAACAATGACTATCTTTCCGAAAGGAAATGTAAACTGCAATGCTATTGGTTGAAAAAATTTCTTTGTCAATAATTAGGTAAATACGTTCTACATCTTATCTACTGTCTTTAGAACTGAAGAAAGTAATAATCTCTCCGACGTACATGTAAATTGCGATAAATAGATTGATGTTATGTAGAAAAAACKATCACAGCATCTAACCCTTTTCTCTTGAATTAAGAATCTATACTAAACTTTGACATAAAGCTTATATACGATTATACGATTTTTTTCGATTACTTTCTGCTTGTTTTGCCCATCAAGAGATCTCCCAGGCATCAATCACTTATGTTTCAATCATATAAGGCAAAATGAAAATGAAAATTCCAAATAAAATATTAACAAAAGACTGAATGCGGTGCAGTGCATAAATAATATCAAATATTGGAAGATATTGTATTTAAAGAGAAGCTGGTTTGCATAAAGAGTAGCTAGTGACTGTATAATTATTTAAAACAATTAGGTGCGGGTGAGAAAACTGAAAATCCCGACGCTTCATGTCAAAACTGAGTTTTCTTAACAATTAGACCGCGAGGTCGAGTGGACTACGAGTACTAGGCGTCATGGACTATCAACTCGTCATTCACGACACCAAGGGGTCTTATTGTTTTAGCATCCATCCATCAAACCATAGACCAAACTTAAAAAAGACCATTAAAAAATAAAAAATAAACCAGCTCTTATCGATTCTTTGTCGACTATTTTTGTTTCTTTGCTGTTCTTTCGATGCGACCATTGTCTATTATCAATAGACCATATAGCTCACACCAGTTTACCGCTACTTCCCACCATACAGTTCAGTAGTSAATCAGATTGATGGATTTGTGATAGCCCATGGTTTRGAGGATACTAATTATCAACTGTGTTTCGTGGTTGAATTAACACTAATTTTGACGATCCGATGATGACGTCGACTGTGGTAAATAAGAGGACATACTACGAGAAACAAATTTGTTTCTTTTTTTATACCTCAAAAAACACAATTAGATAACAATCGTAGAAAAAAAAGAACAATTTTGCGACCGTAGTATATACACTTCTAATTTCCCACGAATCTCGACCAATCAGAAATCGGAAATATTTACAGTTGTGGTTAAATAGCCATTATCCTTTAAATTAAGTGATTCTTGTTTTCGATGTTTTATTTCTGGAAAACTAGAAGTTGAGTGTTCAAAAATATTCGAAAGCTGAAATTGTTATTCCAATGTAAAGAAAGAATAACGTCCTCTTTCATGATTTTGCATATTAAATCATTTCTCAGTAGACGTCACTTAACTTGCATTGACAGGTTTCAAATGCCTATAAATCAGAAAATAAAAGAATGAATTTCTAAAAGGCGTCAACTGTACTTCATCTTCAATGATGTTTTTGTATTTGCTTACAATATTTTCCATTCCATAGGGAAGGACAACTAAAATTTGCAATTAAAAAAATGCTACACAAACTAGCCATGTAGAAGAAAACTTTAATTAAATACTTGATTTCAATATTTATTGATCGATCTTGGAAACAGCTAGCGTCTCGGTCTTGAAAAAAAAAAACAACAAAAAGCAAAACAAAACAACAAAACAAAAACAACAAAACAAACCATAAAAAAGCAAAAAAAAATGAGTTATTTGTTTTTAGTAATTTTTACTATAAAATTCATTGCACCAGAAAACTCGACGTTTCTGCGCCATCAGGCACCATTTTCAAGAAATAATAGCTTACTCTTGAAAATGGTGCCTGATGGCACCGAAACGTCGAGTTTTTTTTTTGTCGTAATGAATTTTATAGTAAAAGATAAATAAATAAATAATAAAGAAAAACAACATGCGTGGGTACCTCTGCGCACTCTCAATTTTTAAACAAATTTATGCATGTAAAAACTTCAAAAGTGGTTGCAATTACGCATACGACTCAATGACATTATAACTAACGGTCTTTCAAAAGTGAACTCCAGACATTATCTCAATTCATTTCGACAAAACACTACTGAAAAGKAAAAGGATATAACGGGTGCAACTAAAGCTGTCAACTCGTGTCCGTCTGTTTACACAGGAAGGGTGATATAGTCAGMAAAGGAGCTTTCAAGCACACGCATTTGGCAAACTCTAATCTCCGATGTTGCGGCAATGTAAAAAAAAGACGCAGAAAGCTTAGAGGAATATTTAATCTGAGAGCATCTTTACTTGCGAAGGTAAGCACTTGCATTTCTTCCATTATAAAGGTTCAAAATTTCCAGACAAGTGGTAAGTTCATAGTGGCTTTGGGATCTCTATAATCTGTTGTGCATAGCATTAAGTTTTATCTTGAAAAGCTCAAATGCTCTCGTCTAAGCAAGGCAGTAGACTAAAATTTTTATCGAGGAAAAAAACCAGCTAACCTTAACTGCAAACGATATATACTAACTTTAGAAATTACACTAAAAGCGAACMGATTAATTTTGCGCCAGTTTCCATTATGAAGGTGTTTATAAAGATTTCCTTATGAAGGTGTTTATAAAGGTATATAAGGTGATGTCTCATTCAGAGTGGTAAGAAAGGCAGAGTGGTAAGAAAGGCAGTGTAAACACAAGGAAAAAAGAAAAATTAAAGCAAAGCTAGTGAAAATTGACGAATATCTACAGAGAATTAAAACCTTTCGTATTCTCACGAGATTTAGAACGATATAATTTATAGATGAGGTATAAACAACGTGTATAAAAGTGCTAAAACCTATTTTCTTAATCTTAATGAACTGTGAGCATGTCTAATCAGTAAAGTTGGCTTGGCGATAAATAAACAATCTGCTCAAAAATTAAAATGCTTAATTCATACGGTTACGACATCGACGCAATTAAGACCGGAATATTTTCATTGGTCCATTAAATGTTATTGAGAAATTACAAAATTGAGATTCAGTTGTCGATCTCCTCAAAACGGCCTAAGGGGTTTCACAGTTGGTGCTATAATGTTAAAAATCCTTTAATTATTTTATACCGTTTTAGTTTTTATAGTTCTTAYAATAAACTTTAATCTATTCATTTTTTTTAATAGTCAGATTTTTTACTCGTATTTGGTTTGTACTGTAATTTAAGACGCGATCTGTTATTTTAATTCATTGCGACTGATACTCTTCCGATGCCCCTGAAGCACTCACGTATTGATGGGCTGGTAATTTTCCAAAGCCTCTTTAAAAATTAAAGCTTAAAAGTACCCAGTTTATATGGTTACAATACTTATAATTTTCTGAAATTTTTCTTGAATTTTGACAGTATTATTACTGTATTCTCAAGTAAAGCATTAACTTCAGCAACTCTATTTTTTATGCATATGTAATATCGCTACTTGTGTTTCTATTTGCGTGTGTGGTGCCATAGCGTGAAAAAAATTGAGTACTGAATACTGTGAAAGTTCAAAATGTTTACGAAATGCCAGACTTTGGATTTGGAAAACCCATAGGACATGTGACAATATGACATAAGAAGAAGCAGAGAAGAGAACAAAAAAAAAAAAAAATAAATAAAAAATAAGAAGAAGAAGACAAAAAAGTGAAGTCAATCATACATCAAAATAACCATATCGATAAGTATAAGACCAAACATAAGCAAAGTGAAGTAAATTATTAACTAAAAATACAAAAGAATCAACAAAGAATAACGCTTTTCCTTTGTCTTCTTCATTTAATCAATGCCTTTTAATTGGAAATATGCTTCTGTCGCGGTTTGAACAAGCCCTTACGAAATTTCGTTGATAGAAATTATACAACACCATTCTAGAACTATCAGCGCTTCTATGAACAATATATTTTATTCCACATTTTGAAGTTTCCGTTCAATCGTGGGGACCGGTTTTCCGTCTGCGCAAATGAACACAGCTGATCATACATTCTTGATGATCTAGAATACTAGGTGACGTAAAAACTTAATTGCATTTCTGTAATTATCTAGCCAGCGAAGTGCCATAGGTAACCCAGGCTTGCAGAGTTAATATTTTGGCCTCTTTTACTGCGTGCGTGAGTAGTGCGGTACCTTGTTTTCATCCGATTCATAATATCACTCCATAATTACATATAGCCATAAAAAGCCTTTTGAAAACATAACTATTTTAAGAAAGTGACGATATTCATTTCAGCACGATTCTCAACGTATTGCCTATATGACTTGGTGCTACTACAATTTATAACAATTTCTGGAATCCAAGGGAAACTCCAAAGTAGTAATGAATTGGATTCTAATCAAAATACCCAAATAAGCACATAAGAAAATAATATTCCACATCATTTCGTCTTTTAAGTTTTTTTTTTCTTTAAAAAAGAAAAAGACTCGAGACACACCCCCTCTMACATAAATCTTCAAGTTTAAAATCCGAATTAATGATATTCTCTGGCCGATTGAATGACGCCCCATTTGATTCCATTGGATTTGTCTTTCCTATATTTTACATACCTTAAATTTCCTGATTAATCTTTTTTTTATCTCGGATGTAGCCTTATATCACAATGGAGCGTTCATAGATGATGCTATAACAACGTGGAATACTTCGCAACAATGTAAGTGCTTGATTTGATGCCACCAAAGATTATTAATCACTGCTTTCAGACTTCAAATTTATTGAGACAAAATGCTGGTAGCGCTATAATATTTCAACAAAAACAACTTAAGACATTAAAATTCAATTTGAAGTGGAAAGCAAATAAGCGGGAGCACACATCAAGTCTTATTCTGAAAATAAAATGACCATAATCGTAGTAACAACAATTACGGTTTCAAGTCTTTACATTAAAATATAAAACAAAGATTTTTGCTGTGCAATTTCATGTAACACATACAAAAAAKCAATGTTTTTATGTCGTCCTTCACCATTATCAAGTGAAAATATACTTGAAGATTGATATACTTGCGCAAMCCATTGCTCAAACAAGCATAATAGAATCAAGTCTAATGAAACGTTCTTTGCRGAAGCTCAATATTTCTCTTCGCAGTGTTTTCAGAAAAATAAATCATTACTTCATCATCCCTTTTGCTAAAGGGTTCATTGTACGATAATAAATCCATAAAATACATTAGAGAGCGGGTTACCAAGAGATAACATGACGTCACAACCTGAGATATCGTTTGTGACAAAAAACATCTCAGTTGTAGAGATTTCGTACTCGATCATTATAAAATCCAGCTGAAATGCAACCAAGTGGCACTGTTCTTCTTGAATTAGTGGCTTTCTATGGTGTCGTAAACTTCACGAAGTAAAGGTGGAGGAAGATTGATGCAAATCCGTATAAAGTACAAAAAAGAAGCAGATACTCTACAAATTGGTACATATTGCCTGAATTTACAACTATAGGACGATAGTCCGCGGTTATAAGCAGTGCAACATAAGAGTTTTGCAGACGTTTCCGCCGAACTAAAAAACAAAATCCACRCGGTTCAGGCAAAAACCTTATGTTTTAGCACTGGAGAGCATTTAGTATTGWTTCACCTGTTGAAGTAGTGTACTTTACCCACAAAAGAAATCATCATATCTTTAAGAAGTTTCACATTTTTAGGGTCATATTCGTCTATTTAACTTCAATTGTCAATCTTATTTTCTGTCACTTAACAATAGGCTTGACGGTCTATAGCTACTGACAAGAGGCGCAACTAGTTTCTAAAGCCTAGAGAATCAATAGGAGATTTAGCCCTTACATGTTGGTTCAAATTTCTGGCATCACAGTATTTAACGGCAACTCAATGTTTCATCGAATGAAGTGGATTAAATCTTACTTTTCGCTGAGCAAACGAATCTGGTAAATGCTTATTTAAGTTTTATGCTATCTTCTCTTGGAAGTTACAAACGGTGAAAATCAGAGCAAACACGAATGCAGTACAAGACCTAATGATTAAAAATTTGAGCAAGTTCTGATATTACAGTAAAGATTGCTTTTCTGCAGGCATGTAAGCATTGTGACAGGAAGTAAAAGMTGTGAGAAGCAATTCAAACGTGATTTTAATATACTTAGACATGTAATTAATAAAGATCAATCAAAAGCAGAGACTGAGTCAAAAACAACAAATCATTAAACATCTGGATGAAAACTGAGAAACGACATAAAACACTTACATCAATCAGCTAGCTTCACCTGTTTTCAAACTACTCCAGTGAGCTTTGCAGTACTGAAGCAATCGACGGAAAGACGCACGTTCCCTTTAAATCATCCTGAAAACGAAGTGTAAAAAAAAATGCAAAATAGCTCTGTAATATTCTCTGTCACTGAATTTTCAAGAATATAATAAAATCTCGTACTGCTTCCGTCAAAGAAGACATTTTGATCACCCAACGTTAATCAGTAATCATTGTCGGCAGAACCAATATTTYGCCATTTGAACACTTTTCTTGATTGTGTTTGATATGGGGTTTCAAGGCTTTTAGCCTTACAAAATATTGGTTTGATGATTCAATTACGTTTGATGGTGTCTGATGTTGGAACATTTCTAATTTACACTCTTTTATTTTGTTATTAGCAATAGTTAATTCACAATTTTATCTAGAGTTTCGAACTAAAGTCCCTTCATGGAAATTCGATGTGTTCTGTTGACTAATAAATGTTGAGATGGRCTGAACAACTGAACCTTTTCACGTTAGTAATCKTACACAACTAATCATTACTCAATGCAAAATGTTATCATAAAGAATTGTCAAGACATTTTAAAACAACCTTTCATGAGATAGAGTTCGCTCCCTCTTATATTWAAGCGGAAGTCGCTAGATATAAGAATGATCAGCGTACATGTAGGCTCACCAACTAGACAATATTTACTAAATGCTTGTTTGTTAGTTTGTTTGTTGCGTTTTGACTTTTTTKATTTTTCTAGGAGAGGTCATTGCTTACAATGTTAAGAGAAATTGCAGTTGGTCTATTAGTGATTTTCCTGATCCCGATCACGATAGCAAAGCCRGCGACTGAAAATGGAACAGACGTCCAGGAAGGTAATGGCTGACTTTGATTCAGCAGTCATTATCAAAACATACAGTTTGTTAATTCCTGAAAGGGCCTGAAAAGTTACATCAGTGAATCTAAGACCCAAAGGGAACGTGGGGAGGTAGAAGAGTAGTATAATAGAGCGGATTTCGTATGAGTGGGACACCGTTACCGCACGGTTACCGCACAGTTACCGGACCTGGCCTGCACAATTTTGGTGAACCAATGGGGCACTTCAATTTGGTTACAGTACGATTACGGTCACAGTACAGTACCGTCCGTTTCCCACTCATACGAAATCCGCTCTATCTTGCGTGTAACTGAGTGTATCATTTCCAAAACACTGAATGTAATGAATAATCATGGTCTGATCGACAAGACCTCTTGCAAGTTACTTGTTTGGGAAAATACGTTGCGGACTTCAAACGCAAAATCCCATTCGGTCCAAGCTCCAATGTTTTCACGTTACAAAGGAAGCCCAAACGAGGAAAAAACAGTTGCCTGTTGCCATGAATGATCATGGTCTGATCGACAAGAGCTCTTGCAAGTTACTTGTTTGGGAAAATACGTTGCGGACTTCAAATCCCAAAATCCCATTCGGTCCAAGCTCCAATGTTTTCACGTTACAAAGGAAGCCCAAACGAGGAAAAAACAGTTGCCTGGGGAAGAAGCCAGGATACTTCGACGATACGGCGCTTGCATTTCGGCAGGGGAAAAATATTAAAAGATATTTATGTGGATTTTGGAGACAATTAACAATGAATTCAGCAGAAACCAATTTGTTGTGTTGTAAGTGCTTTTCCACTTCCCTCCTTCATACCCTGCTGCTATTTTAAAAGTTATATTGATCAATTAGATCGACAGGTAGGGATATCAGGCATATTTTAAGTAAAGGTTAAAATTAAACCTCGMGCGATCGAATGGAAGACCGAGCTCGTAGTTYTCAAGCTATTTCTAAACTAGTAAAACCCTTTTTCCATTGTTTCAATAAAGACTTCTTGAAATAATCTATGTTTCACCATTCATGGCAAAAAAATCTATATCTTTTATAAAATATACAAGCAACGATATAGTGTTTAAGTTATTTAGGTTAATATTTATTCCATATTTGTCAAGGTTTGACTAGTCTAGATAGCACAATAATAAGTTATAGTATTCATTGTGTTATTACATTGATTGATTTTAATGACATTTGACTATTTGTATTGCCATTTTTCAGTCATTTTATCAAAATCTTTAATAAAAGCACTTCATTTATTTACTTTTTTTGCTCTCTTTTACACTTGATATGATAATAAAGCACTTATTTATTTACTGTAGTAAATAAGTAAATAAGTGTTAAATAGTCTCGGAAAGCCAGGGTGAGTCTTCGCGCTTCGGATCATCGAGAAAATGCATTTCTAAATTATATAATAATCAAACTTCAAAAAACTAAGATAACTTGGATCACTAAGCTTTCGCGTATAAACCTTCAAATTTGGATATTTGTGTATTAGTAGGTTCATGAATAAACATCAAAAATTCGAAACTTGAATTAAGTAGCTTGAAACATGTTCCGAGTAATATCTAAAAATTCCAAAACTACATTTTAAACAATTGAAAATTTGTGGCTGTTTTTTTTTTTTCCTATTGTATAGTTTTATATAGTGTACGTAGTTTTTATGTGGGTGTTTTTTTTTTCACTCTTAAATGTTGACATACTCTCTACCAAAACAAAATATCAAAACACAAGTGGTTCACGGTAATGTTTGTCTTTCTTTTTTATTTGTTTGTTGCTGTTGTTTTTTGAGTGCTAGATGTCAATCATATCAAAGAAACCAGCCAATAACAGATCGGAGGAACACGACCGGTTATCTCACATTTGTATAATTCAATCTTTATAAAGAATGCCTACAAGAAATTAAAGACGATATCACGTGGCCACAAACAAAGTTTGGAAAATTTGCTATCATCTCATGCCCTAACGGTCAACAAGGTAAGTACTATCTAGTGATTATTCTCAAGAACCAGTATTTATCTCATAGTTACTGAGATTTGCACACGGAAATCTTATTTAGTAAATTCTCGTTCGTAAGCTGAATTTAGCCAATCAGAGAGACGGACGATATTTCTCACTAGTGGAAAAATGGCGTTCGCGTTTCTAATTGGACGAACGATGTTTTTCAATAGTGAAAAATCATCGTTCGGCCAATCAGAAACGAGAGTGACGAAGGCTCCGACT